CGTTACCTTTGACTCTCAACTCTGACCTATACCACACCAGGAAGTTCAATTACGCCCTTCTCCAAAGCCACTCCTCCTACCGAGCTCACTCTCCCAATGGATCAACCCTCTCGCTTCCCGACAGTCGAAGACGAGACTCCCACCGGTGAAGCCAGTCAGATAGCAACGACCATGTCGGCCTCTGGGTCCTTTGCGGCTACAAAGGGGACAACCACCACCTCTGATGTAGCAGCTGCCGAACTACCGCCTCATGACATTGCCGACGTCGTCCTCTCATCGCTATCAGAGCACACAAAGCCTCAGCCCATGGACTCCGCTACCGAGAGCGCGGACGGAGAAAAGTCTCACCCCGGCTCTGCTGAGCGCGACGCTCATGAGAATGCTCATTTCTCCATACAATCTGGACGGGGCTACATGTATTTTCCACGTGCATCGCTATCAGAACACACTAAGCCTGAGCCCATGGACACCGTTACCGAAAGCGCGGACGCAGAAAAGTCTCACTCCGGCTCTGCTAAGCGCAACATTCATCTGCCGGCACCAGTTTGCATTCGATCTGGACACCTGCAATACTACACCTCTTTCCCGCGTGCATCGCCAGAGCAAGTCTCTTCGATCTTCCCCACCGAGCTTCCGCCGCGTCCTCCACCAAAGCAATCTTTCTTGAAACGGATGCAAGGTTCATCTGCGCGCCCTGCTCAGACTGACAAACAAGTGTCCCATGACCACACTTACCGAACGCCCGACATCGAGTTGGCTGCACCTGGTGAGGCCCTGCGCTCTCACGATGTGAACCGGTCTCGAAGCCTGATGTTCTGGCTCCTGATTATGCTTGGGATCTGTTTGAGCAGTATTATTGGGATTGTCATTCACTGGGCTGTGACCCGTGAGGATTAGACATTTCGAGGCAGAAGGTGTCTGAGTTGGATGCGGGAATGAAGCACTGGGATTGGAGGAGCGGAAGCTATGAAGATGGATGGGGATACTTACGGACGTATGGCAAGGCATGCTTAGAGTCTAGCATCGTATGAACATGGATGTCTTGCGAGCGCTCAGGTTTTGGAAGCTACAGGTGTTTTATGCGCAGCTAAGGAGATTGCGCGCAAGTATGCACCAAATACAAGAAGAAAATTGGACACCTTGGAGCCTAAATTATTGGGAGTGTGACACTTGCACGTTCTTATCTGAACACAGTCTGCAGACCTGTTCGGTCTTTTGCTTGTCCGAGGAGTATGTAGGCGGCAAGCGCTTCTGCAACTTGCATATAAAGCTTTCACTTGCGTGCTTCTCCTACAATCGGGTGCTCAGTGTGAGAGTCTCGCTACTTCTAGAGCCACAGCCCTCTCGTAACGACTCAATTCGCTTCGTCATTGACACTCCTCTTAGAGCACGCTTCAACTTACTCCACTAGACATGGCAAACAACATAAATCCCTCGTACTATTTCACTCCTTTCCCGGCTGACCTCCCTCCACGTCCTAAAGCGAAGCGCAACATCATGAATCGCGCGATCTCTTCAGTGCCCCCCCTGTTTTCTTTCTGCTCAAAGAAGTCCGGGGAGCCAAAGATAGAAGAAGAGCTTGAACGCTGTGGTTTTTCAGCCCAAGATATTGCGGAATGCAAAGCAAGACAGGAACAATGGGATGATCAGTGGCGAGGGTAATGGTGAGAGCGACGATGTCAACGCGTGGCTAACGACTGCGACGGCCATACGGAGATGATGTTTGCTAGTTATAAAATGAATATTTCCGGTACGCCGAAATTGGTGAAAAGCTTGAAGGTCTGACGGTCACCGTGATGTCCAATGCTGACAGTGAGCTTATCGATACCGGCGCTACATGACTCGCGCGAGCTATGGCTTCCACAACATTAGCTCGAAGTCCACGAACACTACTTTGCTTTGAGAGCCATCATGTTTTCCACTTGGGACTACCCGCAAGTATCCGACATCTAAACGATCGCCAGGTACCGGCCAAAAGCCACGATAGATTTACACCGCAATCCGCGAACTTGGGTTCGGCCTGACAGGCGCGCCGAGCATTGGCATGCAGTCGCCTCTGGGCATCGTCACTCGAGTGGACAAAACCCATGTGGACCTTCCTCTTTGCGCAAAGAGCGGAGCTAGTATGGACTACGGAACTACCATGGCTGGTCTCTTATCGCGAGAAGTCAGCACTATAAAGCAGAGCCCGTGAGTCGGACATGGCAATTGTACCTGCGTAGCCTCAGCCAACTAACGCGACCATGCAGCTCATCTCTCGCGTAGCCGCAGCCACGGCAGTCCTCGCCGGCAGCGTTTCTGCTGTAAATTTCACGGGCGATGTCGTGAACGGCGTCCCGGTCATCAGCGGTCTCGACCTCGCTGATGTGCCTCCCCAAACCGTGTCCAAGTACTACATGCGAGCTGGCGAGCTCAATGGCGGGCATCCCGTGCATATCCCCATCATGGTTGCGCGCGGAACCCCGGAGAGTCTGCATACGGGAAAGAAGCTGTCGCTTTCAGCCTCCATCCACGGCGATGAGTTGAACCCGGTTCGCGTGGTTCAGCGCATGTTTGAGCAGCTCCAAGACCAAGTCGCGACGCTCAATGGCACAGGTATGTACCATGAATCTTCACGGAGATCATTGCTAACGTCCACGCAGTCATTGGCATTCCGACGGTCAACCCCATGGGTATCTACCTCAACCAGCGAAACTACTTCACGTCTGGCGCCAGTGGTTCTCTCACAAACGTCAACCGCATCTTCCCAGGTGTCTCGGCTATGGAAGGAGGCAGTGGTCCTGATATCTTGGCGTACAACATCTGGAACCAGATTTGGGCCAACACGTCAAATGTCGACGTTGGCATTGACCTGCGTAAGCTCATGATATCTACCGCCGACCAAAACGTAGCTAACATGGTTTAGACACACCCAGCTCCGGCGGAGAGACCTCGCTATGGTGCTACTCCGACTTCCGCCTCCCCTACGTCGAGCGCCTCGCCAAACTCCTCCAACCCGATACCCTCAAGATCGATCCTGGTGAGCCAGGCTCCATCGAGACAACCTTTGTCGACTACGGCATTCCCTCGCTCACTGTTGAGATGGGACAAGCGAAGGTCTGGAACAACAGCCTGATCGACCGCGTAGTCGACTACGTAAACCGCGTCATGGTCGACCTCAAGATGACGGGCACAAACGAGACTGTGGAGCCGGATCTCAGCAACACATACATGATCACCACTTTCCACGACACCTGGTCGCAGTACGGAGGCTTTGTTGAGAGGCTTGTACAGGTCGATGAGCCAGTCACCAAGGGCCAGCCCATTGCCCATATCCGCAACCCCTTCGGCGATATCATCGAAACGCTACTTTCACCCGAGACTGGACGCATGTTCCAGAGCCCGCGTGATCCTAGCATTGAGCCAGGTGGCAGTGTAGGACAAATTGCATACAACAGCACGGATCCTGAGTGTGCTGATGGGTGCATCCTGTCTGGTCCTCAGGGCAGCAGGAGATAGTTTAATGTTTATGTAGCATCATAGTAACACGCTTACTGCACCATCTTGCTCGAGCGTTTTCTCGTTTACAAGGTCAAACAAGTCTTCTAGTTTCTTCACGTAGGAAGGTGAACGTGCGATACCCGAGATGCATTGACCAACAGCGGATGTCGTACAAACGAAAGACTCATACCTTCCTTAGACTTCTCCTGATGCCTGGATGATTTCTTAGATACACCTCTGCATACTCTTCACTCGCATGCGAGCTAACAATCGTCATAATATCTGCCACTCCTACTGCGACGCTGACTCGCGTCGGAGCGATTCCGTACTACATTCCATCGCGCTTAACGCCACTACCCGCAAGTTCCCTTCGCTCGATCTTCGGCAAAGCGCCTGATCTTAGTGACGGACTTGTTCCGATCACTTTGATTGTTCTTGAGAACGCGAGGGATGCTGCGTGTCCCGAAACACAATCTACCGTTGAGTCCTGGCTCGAAACAGACGATGTGTTCAATAAGGATTTCCTGCAGCACGTTTATTTCCTATTTCTCCCAAAGACTGATACCTTCGACCTGGACGAGCTGAACATTTTGACCCTCAGTGTACCAGAAGATTGGAACAATCGAAGCATTCAAGCTGGGGCGACGAACACGAGTGGGCACCAAGTTAGCTACCGCGGTGGACCATATTTTGCCTCCGACGCTGGCATTCGTCAAGCGTGGCGCCTGTTCGATGACACAAACGAAGCTTTCCAGTTTCCGGTGGTTCCTGATGAGCATGGAGAAGATAAGTATGTATTTACCCCCTTGCCCCAACAACATGAGGCTTCTTCCGCATTTGACTCTGCTGACAGCTTGTCTCTAGGTACAACATCCCTGGAACAGCTGCGATTCCAGTCCCTAGTCGTTGCTATTACCACAAGCCTTCCGACACCAAACCTCTATCTGGCATGAGAATAGCTATCAAGGACAATATCGACCTGGAAGGTGTGCGGACAAGTGCCGGCAGTCGTGCTTACCAAGCTCTTCATGCAGAGAAAGCACGCAGCGCTGCATGTGTTACAAAGTTTTTGGAGGCGGGAGCAGTTATTGTGGGGAAAACAAAGACTGTTCAGTTCGCCTCTGGAGAAAATGCCCGAGATTGGATTGACTACTCTGCACCACTCAATCCTAGGGGCGATGGGTATCAAGAACCTAGTGGCAGTAGCACTGGAAGCGCTACAGCAGCATCGGCTTACGACTGGATAGATGCCACTTTAGGCACCGATAGTAAGCTCATTCCATCCTTCAGAACCTCGACAGAATTAACGAGTCCGCAGCGTTTGGAAGCATAGTAGGCCCTGCGGCAGATCACGGCCTCTTTGGACACCGTCCATCTTTAGGGGGTATATCGACGGAGGGTACGGTGCCAGTGTCAAAGTAAGCATGAAGGGTCATTTCCACCTGTAAAGAGACTAACGTACGAACAGAGAACTCGACACTGTCGGCTTCTTCACGCGCAGCATCCAGATGGCTACCACAATGTCTCGAACGTTGTGCGCTCGCAAGATCACCAAGAAAACGCGCGCAGCGAGAATCGAGCTAATATACCCTGCTGACGTCTTCACTGGATGCCACAACAAGTATCTATCCCATACAGGGCGTTTCATACGTCACTTGGAAGACTTCCTGCAGGTCAAGCGAAAGAAGCTCAATATAGATGGCCTGTTCAGGCGGCAAAGCATGGCTGGTGGGACTTCACTGAAGAATTATCTAGATACCGTGAGCTTTTCGACTCTTATCCTCTCGACTGTTAGCTGACGCACATAGCAGACTGTTGCCCATATTCAGCTGTATGACTGCTATCAGAATTACCAGACATTCGTGCGAGACTACGAGAAGGAGTTCCATGAGAAGGCATTTGCCGATCCTTATATCGAGTACAAATGGTATGTCATTATGTTGGAGATGAGGTAAACTTGAGCTAATCGTTCGGGCAGGTCTCTTGGCAAGCACATCACGGTAGAACAATATGAGCAAGCTGTTAAGGAGCGTGACACCAATAGAAATTGGATACGTACTGCAATACTACCGCAGCCATCCGATGGACAAAGTCTGGATAAGATACTCATTTTTCCAAGCGGAGATACGGAACCTATGTACCGACATGAATATCATAAGTAAGTGAGCAGGTGCTGAGATAAGCTGATAAAAGCTTACCCCGCGCAGGAGATCGCTCGAAGGAGGCGCGAGCAAGAAGCAAGGTTTTGGTTACAAGCCAAGCCATGTACCTGTTCTTGCGGGCCTACCGTTCTTCACTATTCCCTGTAAGCCACGATCCATGAAAGCGTTCTCGAACGCTTTACTCACATGTTGCAGATGGCCAGTATCCGTATAAATCGATAGTCACAGGCAATGTAGAGCACCTTCCAGGTGCCGTTGGCGTAATTGGCCCACAAGGTATGTTTATCGATGACTTTGTTCGATGGATTGGTCGGGTAACCATATTCAGGGAGTGAAACTGCCATACTTGAACTGTTTCAAGAGTTTTTCGAAAAGACTCCTGAGTTGTGTGATACTGTGTTGACCGGACCGACTGCATTCCCCCATGGGATATGAAACCTGTACTTGGCAAATACAACAAACCCTCGATCACATCATAAGGGGAGTTGACGGTCATCTAGTTGGTCGGTTATTTCATTACGTCTATCTAGCCTTAGGCTATTATAGTATACATAGGAACTTTTATGCTTCAGCAGGGACTGATCAATGCAGTCTTGCCGTAAGTCATGCGCTCATACAATCATCCTTCGTGAAGAAATGTATCTAAGCAGATGAAGGCTCCCTCTCCTCAGCAGGAGGCCCACCAACGTTACCCCTCTGACCAGTAGGCACATCATCAAGATTCCTCTGAGCAGCATGCGCGGGGTCATCCTTCAGATCCCTGATATCACCACCAGTAGTCTGGTCCTTTACGCCGCTAGCCAGGCCGGTTAAACCCTGGCCCTTGCTGGAACCATCATGGAGCTCTTGGGATGTTTGACCTTGGCCTGGGTGGCCGAGACCAGTGTGGACGTCACCTGAAGTGGCGCCTTGGAGGGTGTCGGAGGCTTGGTGGTACATCTTTTGGTTGTTTAGGTCGGGGTTGGGCTGGAAGGTCTTGGATGCTGGCGCGGTGCCAGCGGAGAGGACTTGTGCGTTGAACTCGGGGACGGCGTCGTTGCCGACGAGCTTTCCGGGTTGGTGCTAGGTTTGTTAGTCGGGTTCGACGATGATGTGTTTTGGAGCTTGGTAGTGTTGACGGAGGCTCCAATGAACTCAGAAGACGATCAAGCAAGAATCTGTGACGAAATCGAGAAAGGTCTGCATGTACTTACACCACCTTTCATGAGGGGCTCACTGGGCGCGACGTGTCCAGCGAATTGGCGGCCGTCGCTGACAGCGTCGGGGTTCTGGTTCTGGCTCATGTTTGCGATATGTATTTGATGTAATCGGGAGCTTTGCAATGTAACGTAGTGGATGGGCAAATGTAAAGGTTGTTGGGTAGGAAGATGAGTGTCGTGTGCTATGTGAAGTAAACTTTCACCATGGGCTTTCTATAATCCCATATGATAGCGTCACCACCTTTGACATCAACTCGACGTCATGCCGACTTGCGCTAGTTCAGCCGTCTGTGGTAATGGGCTCTGCTGAGAAGAGCGGGTACCTGACGTCGGCAATTTGATCCGGTGTCCTGCGATTCGATCAGACTTTGCTTGGTGATCGCCGATGATCAAAGGTCGAGGTTGGTGAGGGGTTGTGTTGAGTGAAAGGAACACTGTCGGAACAGCATTCCGAGAATTCCGACGTTGCGATCGACTGACACACACTTAGCACCATGACGTTGATGGAACCGAAAACAACTTCTTGGCTGCAGTAGAAAATCGCGTAAGTGATCAGATTTAGAGGGGTTTGCGACAAGACCACGTTAGCTGTTGGTGATAGAAGCGATGTAGTTAACGCCTGTCGCGACCACTGACATAATCTACTTGGTAGGATCAGCCGCAAGTACACCAGAGTCAGTGAGGCTTCTGTAGTGAGCCTATCCATTGTGACATGATGTGACCGTACGGTTTCGTGTCTCACACAACTGAACTCAGACATCCAAGTGATGATTTTGACCAGACTTCATAACTTTTGTGTATTGATTGGCCGTTGGCTTCAAGAGCATGGAAGCTCTGACAAGCCGTAATAGTGTCCTCAACACTTCTGTGTCGTAATTGGGTTTTGCATCTGCCTCGTGGGTATCGTACTGGGTATCACTGCCCGTCCAACGTCCCCGAATCTCGCCGCTGCTCTGCCCAGAGCCCGTCGCCCCAGGCCTGGAGCTAGAAGTAAACATCTCTTGTTCATATTTCGCTCATTCCTCCTCCTGTATGAACGGGTTCGGGATTTCTTCGCTTCCGTCGACGGGCGAGATGACGACTAGAAGAGTGCCGCGCGCGACAATAAGGCCAAGCTTGCGATACCGGATGTTGCCATCCTCGTCTGGGTCAAGTCAGCTTTGTCAATTTGAAGGCAATGTTTAAGAACATACCAGTCAGGGCCTCCTTGACCTCATCCAGGACAAGGTTCATGAGCTGGTCGTAGCCTTTGAGTGTGCCAATGACTGCAAGAGGTTAGCTCCCAGCGCGCCTTCCCAATTGTCCTGCCTTGCATACCTTCTCGTCCGCCACTGAACTTGACGGTGATCTGCTTGTCCATGTACTTGCTCAGGTCAAGGATGTTCTCTTTCTTCGGGCGCTCAGTCTGTCCGCCTGCACCGCCCGCTTGTGCACCGCCACGACCGCCACCTCGTCCCCCGCGGTCGCCGCCCCGACCTCCGCCTCGACCCCGGAATGCGCCTCGCTCAGACATGGTAGTAGCGTGGAGAGGGAGAGACGCGTTTTGGATGTTGAAGCTTGTGGTGACGTGCAGCCGCCGCGCCCAGTAAGATGTGGTGGTCTGTGCCGCTCCGGGAAAGGCTCCTCCCACCCCACATTCCGGTCACGTGCGGTGGCTTTGGTGTCAGGCGACGCAGGGGTGGAAACATGATTTCCGCCATGCTTCCAGACCTCCGCCGTGCTGTGGCGCTTGCATCGTAGCAGCTAGATTCACCCAGGACGCGTGGGCCTGCGGCATTTTTCGTCATCCCTCCAGACGACGACGACGCCAGCCCGGGGTGCTCGGTGCCGGCCTCTTCTTCAGACGGCACCTCACACACTTCTGCCACAGGCTTGCGGGCGTCTGCAAATAGGCTGTCGTGACTGTCCGCCCGTGGCAGGGCGCTCAGTGGCTGTCGTGGTCGGGTCGGCAGAATCTGAATCATCAGCGATGCGCATTCATTGCAGGTCGGCGCCGGGGCCGCTGCTAGCTGCAGACGCGTATTGATTGGGTGGGAGGCGTACGCTGCAAAGCTCTTTCTTATTTCCGGTGCGCTGCGTGCCTTCCCTTGTCCGCCCCTCTGCCTTCCGTTCGGAGCACTTCAGCCACCGAGCAGCCGTTTGGCTTTCCACCCGCGCCCTCGCATCTCTCGCTGCGATTCTCTCTGCGTGATGTATCTTGTCCTGTAATTCGGGCCTTCGCGACTAGACGCGAGCGCCTGCAGTGTGCTGAGCTGTGAGCTGTCCACTTCCTCGCCTAGCGTCCTCCGCTCCACCCTCGAATCTCTGCCATCCGTCCACTCCGCCCTCGCAGCACTCATCAACCTGGTATCCCTCCCACCCAAGCCAAGGTATGGCCACCGCCGACTCGCACGCTGCGGCTGAGCGCACCATGTCGTCGCATCCGCCGCAACACCATGCGCCGCCGCTGCCAGCCGATCTAAAGCGCAAACGCAGTCCTTCGCATGAGATGCACCTGGCTGCGGCCGCGCCTGTCCCCAAAGCCGCTAAGACCCACAACCACCTCCAGATCAACTATCTCGCACGACACCTCGAGAAGGACCTGCCGCTGATCACGAACGATGACACCCTACCCAACATTCTCTCAGTCCTCAGCGACTACCAGGGCGTGCTCGATCGCCATGAGAGCATGGCCTGCAACCTGGGCGCAAGACCACTGGGACCCATCCTGATCAAGCGATTCGAGCGGCTGTTCGACGGACCACCGCGCGTGCTCAAGAGTCACGGAAAGGATGGGACCACTGTCACTTGGCTGGACGTGGTCGAGTTTGCGCGCAACAAGCCCGAGCAGTTCCAGCTGGATCAGATGAGCGAAGGCGTGCGCGTCTGCCAGTTCTACACGAAGCAGTGCCGGGTCCAGATCTCAGAGGAGGATTTCGTCTTGATATCGTCTGGCATCCCGCAGAAGATGATCCCACCCCAGCCCATCATCGAAGACGAGGAGAAGGAGCTGGGCACAATGGAGATACTGGAGAAGAATCTGAGCCAGATATGTTCACTTGCCGATCAGGGTGAGTCTGACCAACCATCACTAACCAACATCGACACTGACTAACATTGCACAGTCGCTGCCCGCACTCGGCAGCTCAACCACAGACTGAAGGGCCGCAAGCAGGCTATCCTCGATCGACGAGCGACCGCGAGCCCAGCGCCTACCATTCCTCGGCCCACGAGCCCCTCGAATGTCGCCCTTATGAACGGTGGCAGCTCGAGCGCTCCGAGCTCAGGGTACGGCCAGGCGCACGGCCAACCGCACACTCAGCCTTCCCAGACATCACCCGGCGGCGGCGGTGGTTTCGTCGCAGTCAATGCGCGTCAACATCATGAAGCCAATGGCCACGGTCACAGCCACAGTCATAGCCGCGGCCATGGCACTTCATCAACCACCCGGCATGAATTGCTAGCCAAATTTCACACCACAAATGGCCGGAGTTCGTCTTCGCAGCCGCCCACTAGCACAGCCGATGTGCGAAGGCCGTCCGTAGGCAGTCATACCAACTCTCACCCCTCTACCCCGGCAGCGATCCCCACAAGAGCTGTTCCCAAACCCGCGGA